ACTCAGTGAGTCTGTTGTGCGGGTAACTGTCACATATACTAAAAAAAAGCCACTTACTGTTGTTCACCTATAAAATGGAGTGATTGAGAAATAGCTGCCCTAAAGGAAAAGGGACCAGTGTAGAAAGATGACAGCTCTTAGCCATTAATCAAAAGTTGCTTTTAACTTATCCAACCATAAATTGGAATTATTGGTAGCTTAGCCACATCATAAAGAATCTTTCCAACATTAGTATCATGAAGGCAATGATGATATTGGTGATAATAATATCTGTCATCTATTGACAGCTTACTCCTTGCCAAGAATCATGTAAAAATTTTGCATACTCCCAATTGTTACTCATCATAGTAAGGGTTATCCTATGTAATAAAAGCCTAACATGCAAATCAACTGAATGGTAGAACAACTGGTCACTATGATGTGCACTGACCACCAGGGGGCAGACGCTCAATACAGGAGCTGCCCCCAGCCCACAGGCCCCAGGCTGCCAGTAGCCCTGCCGAGGGAGGCAATCAGCAGCAGTGGTGAAGGGTGAGGCCAGAAAATGGGCAGCACCAGAGTGAACAAGGTGGGTGCCTTCACCCCCGTTGCCCCACCAGTCACCCCACAAATAGGCCCTGATCTCTAGCCAGGCCTAGGAACCCTACCTGTGCATGAATTTTGTGCACTGGGTCTCTAGTAGGTATTTTTAACTCTAATTTACAGGTTCAAAAACTGAGCCTCATGATTATAATTTGTTGACATGAAACTTCCAGCAACCATCCTCTTGCCACATACAGAAAATGTTCCTGGAAAGAGGCCATATGGTGTCAACAAGAGCTGAGACCTTGAGGAAAGGTCACTGAACTGATGAAATCATTTAAACCCTTGAACCAGCCATGCTTAAAGCTAGATCCCCTTTTTGGTCACTCCTAATTTATAGGTCAATGTCATTTCTTTCTAGGTTAAGCTAGTTTGTCTTGGGGTTCTGCACTATACTATCAAATGAGTCCTATTATGAATGATTGGACACTCACAAAATACTTGAGATGTATCCTGCACAGATGATAATATTTGTCCTTCACAAAGTTTAGAATATCTTAGAAATGAGAATCACTGAAACCTTGGGCTCTCTTTAAAACACACTTCACTGAAGCATTAAGGCACAGTACCCTCACATACTTAAATGGCACTCATACACAACAGTCTGTGACTTTGTACCCTGGGGCACCATCAGAAGACACTTCAGACTGGCTCCAGAGACATCCAGCCTGTGGCTAAATTCTGAGAGTGACACCAAAGTTGATTTTGTACAAAAATATAAATGTTCCCTGCAATATCAGAAGTCAGAGGTTAGGGCATGCCAATTCTTCCTAAGAACTTATTATGGACCTTATTATTCAAAACTGCATCTAGGTCAGTATCTGTCAAAGTGTGTTTTACAAAAGAATAATTTTGTGAAATAAGGCAAGGCAATCACGGTCTCTCCTATGGGTCTCTTTGCTATTTACCTAGTACCCAGCACAGTGGCTAAGTACACATAATAAATACTAAATAGATGCGATGTGCTTTAATGAAAACTTTTAAGAGAAAATGGTCTTTGGTCATATGTGGACTCATCCTATATAATAAAAGGCCAATATGAAAATTGACCGAATGCCCAAAAGACCAGTCACTATGATGCCTACTAATTACCAGGGGGCAGAGGCTCATTGCACTCTCACAGAGGGAGCACCAGTCAGCCAGAAGCCCTGAGCCAGGCTCATGACTGGGGAGCGCAGAGGCTGTTGTAGAGCCTTTTCAGCCTTTGTATTATAGTAGTTGGATATCTCCCAAGGGCTCTGGGACTGTAAGAGGGTGCAGATGAGGCTGAGGGACCCCTCCAAGTGCACAAATTTCATGCACCAGGCCTCTAGTTGCAAATTATTGTACCTGTTGATCACCACAAAATAGTACCTGCTCATGATGAGTGAGGGCTGAGATCCAGGAAGTGCTTTGCCAAACTTTATTGCAGGACTTCTTAGCAGCCTGTGAACTGTGGATATTTTAACTGGTGGTTTGAATACCAGATATATCTTAAATTCTATTTAACTAGACATCTTTTCCCTTATCGCCTCAGAAGAAACAGAATTAGCAGCTTGCCTCATAGGTCATAGAAGTGACAGTTCTTTGCCAATTCTTTTTCTAACTCATGAGATTCTTAGGGATGGTGTCTCTGAGGAGAAAGCATATCCACTGTACTGGATATAGCTGTCAATAATTTTTTAAGCATGTCTGTCAGATACGGTAGCAAAATGCTATGCAATAGTGTTCATAGCTGAGGATAGAGTTTTTTCAAACTTCATTCAATCACCTCATTCTTGACAGTTTTAGATTATTCCCTCCTTTATTGACTTCTCTGAAAGAAGACTGTGAGTTTTTTAGAGCGTTTTCACATACAGTAGTATCTGATGAATTGGTGTTTCTTCTGTCTTAAAACATTCTATAAAGCAGTTGTTTGTGACATCTACCCTCTTTTTCATCCTTTTCTCTTTTTAAATAGAATCAACTCCCCCCCCACCTAAAAAAATAATAAAAGTCCTGAGATCAGATCATCATAATCTTTTTGATAGACAGTGGTGGTAAAACAACAGTCTCTAGAAATGATTGTGAATAAAGTGTAAAGATGTAATTTTCTATGTAAAGATTAATGTATTCTCCATAGATCAAAAGATTTTTAACACCCTCCCCCAAAGGACATGTAATAGTAAACACTGCAGTTTACTAATCTTGGACTGAGTTCATGAGCTAATCAATCATTAAGAAACTATTCATTTACAGAAGGTTAATTACCAATATCTATATGGGATGAATCAAAAATTTATTTTCTATGTGTTCCCTCTTATTTATTCCTTATCCCTATCCTATGCTCCTTTCCATCAGATAAAGGATAGAAGCTGACCCACAACAATTTAATTTTATAACTTCCAGAATCCGTGTCTTTCAGCAAATGAACCAAAGAGAGGCACTGATGAGAATTTGTAAGTATGAGGAAAGGAGAAGCCTCAATGATTCAGTTGGCAAATTTGGTAGCACCGTGTCTTTTTACGTGTCTTTTTATGACAATATCTTCTACCTCACAAGCCAGTCATGCTTCCAGCTACCTCCAGGCAAACACCAACTGGGACATTCCAGTGATCCACATTTTCACCTTGTCCCTTCAGTCTCCAGATGAGGACAGCTTCCTACTATTGCTCATCTCTGGACCAACTGATCACCCTCTGTTGCCTTCTCTGCTCTTCTATCACCTAAGTAACCAATTCCTCTCACTACAGTCCTTTTGAAAAACACTTAGAAGGTTTTTTTTTTTAACTGAGTACCAACTCACTTAGTTCTATTGTATGCATTTTTAAGAGAATTTGTGACTATGCATTGTAAAAACCTGGGGAAGTCTTTTCATTGTTTAGAATAGAATGAGAAAGACAAACAATGGGAAGCAGGCAAGGGCATCAGCCCTATCTTCAAGGTTTTCCCTGTTTCTTCCTTATGTACATTCCCTAAAGATACCCAAAGAAAGAAGCATTATTCAAGAGAGTGGAGTGGTCAAGCTGTGATTTAGTGAGCTGCATTGGGACTATTTTCTCTTCCACCAGGAAAAACTACATACAATAACCAGTTTAAACTGGAGCCCATCAAAAGCAAATAAAAGGCACATACTTCTGATTAAAAAGGAAGAAAACCAGATCTCAGTGCTTACAGTATCACCCAATTTCAGATACATATTCCTAGCTGAGCTAGATGGTCTTAATGGGCAATTTTTTCTTGTATATCCTTAACACAAAATACTAAAACTACATACATGCAAACAGAGACAAGAACTCTAGAGACATACGCACCAGATGTAACTAAGAAAAAGCCACAGTAGTAAAATGTAGGGTCAGGGCACATTTTCTCATGGATTCTTGTCCAATGAAGATGAAGAATAAATGTGCAGACTAACAGATTTCTTTAATAAAAATGTAGAAGTTTATTGGAAGCATATACAAACTCCACCTGGGCAGGGGTGACCCCAATGGGTCCCCCTAGGGAGGGGACCCCAAGTGGGAAAGGCCTGGTCTCTCTCTGATGGGAAAAATTTTAAAAATACTACCTCATGTCCTTTGTCTGGGTTTATATATGCTGCAGTTCTTTGTTTGAACCTGACCCTTTCTTAATGGACCTTTCATTAATTTAGGACCCCCACGCTCTCCTCATTGATTATTTTGTTACATAGTATCAGTTTCAAAAGCCAAAGTCCATGTGGTTCTCCCCTTATCTATTCTCTGTGAAAATATTGCCTCCTTTTCATTATCCTGTAACTTTTCTTTATCCTGTGAATATATGTCTCCCTCTTCCCCCTTATCCTATGGCCTTTTCCTATCCTTTGTACAAGTAAGATAAGCATTTTTGGTATCTCCAAGCTACTTAGGTCAGGGCTGCTTTTGATCTACATTATAATTTCTTTAATTGCTTAGGCCAGAGTTACCCCTTTCCTTCACATATGCATTTCTTCCTCATAGACCCTCTTTATTCCCTAAACCACCCTATTTTATCCTTAAAATTCCTTTCAGTTGTATATTCTTAACACAAAATACCAAATCTGCATACATGCAAACAGAGACAGGAACTCTAAAGATATACACACGAGATATAACTAAGAAAAGCCACAGTAAAAAGAGACCATCTAGTCATCAGTCAAATCAATTCTACAAATAGTGACTTAGTCCCTAGAGTGGGCAAAGGAATAGGCCAATTAGTATTTTTGAAGGTTGACAACTAAGGGCCTTTGGACAGTAAATAGGACTAAACTTGCTCTTTAAAGCTGTAAAAATAAAAAGCATTATCATTCAAAGGAAGACACTGACCACATAACTGTCTTATTCCCATATAATTCTGTCCAACAAATCTCTGTCTCTCATTTAGCTCTTAGTCCATAATTGCTGAATTAATATATTTTGTGCTTTCTCAAAGGGCTTGCTATTATTATAAATTTTTTCTTTTTCCCCCAAATCTTTGGGATCAGTTTCTTTACCAGTTGGAATAGTTAGAAGGGTAGGGAATTTTAAAACAGCAGAATCTAAGTATATAATCTAGAATTTCACACAGTGTGAAAATGAAGTCCAGCAACTCTTGTCCACTTACATGAGAAAGACAGGTTGGATCAACCTAATCTCATTAAGTGTTTTTAAAAGCAATGTTAGCCATCTGACATTTTAATACATTATTATTTATTAATTCTTCAGTTTTCAGCATCTAAGGAATATTCTGAAAGAGTTTTAACACCATTGTTAAAACTCTTTGCTGGTGTCCTGCCCATGTGACCTCACCTGTGCCATTTCAGTGGACATCAACCTGATATCCAACTACCAGAGCCTGCTTTTCTTTGGCTGTGGCTCTTTTTCTTGACATTGGAACCTGCTTTTCCCAGCAATATGCCAGATCAGAACAGCCAGGGAATTCATGGACCCCAGGAACAGCTTTCAACCAATGAACCTCTTTGTCCTGTGGCATATACCTGAGGAATGTAGCAATAGTCCCAGAGGGATTAGAACTAGTCACCTGTGGTGGTGCTCTGTTGTTAATGCATCTCTACTGTCCATCTTCCCTATCCTGTATCACCGTCTCCTCCCTTCTCAGTGTTCCCTTCACCCACAATTTGCACTCAAAATCTTTTCTCAGGGACTGCATCTAAAGAAACCCAAACTGAAACAAAAGAAAACCATTTCTCATCTCTCTGGGGGGTAATCAGCCAGTCTCAACAAAGTGAGTCAGCCTTGTGTATATTTTCCAGGAAGGGACCATGTGAATAAAGCTGCAGTGATTGATGGAGAAAATAAGAGTTATGTCAACACCCTACCTTTCTGTGCTCTGCTTCCTCCCACGTTCAGCACACCTGGCTTGTTTAATCAGGGAATCTTAGGGCACAATGACATAGAACACCCCATGCAGGAAATTAAGATGAAAAAGCACCCAGACACAAAGACCATGCATATCCCACTGTTGTGGTTATAACCTGCCATGCTCACTTACTGATCAGCTTTGTTTCTTCATTTATTAGTTTGCCGTGTGAGATGCCAGTGAATTATGAAAGCATGATATCCTTTTCAGGCCATTATTTTTGGCTTTCTGTCTATAGAAAATTAAAAGTTAGATGCAAACCAGTGCCAACTTTGCTGACTTTAGAATTTCTAGCAGTGAACTATGAAAGGATTGTGATAAAGTCCCTCTATTCTGTCTGACTCGTGGCATCATGTTGTTGTTTGGGTTGGGGGTGGGATAAATATGTTATCTTTCCAAACACAGTTTTGCAGCTGATTTTTATTGACTTTACACAATATGCACTGGCTTCCCCAAAATAGGGGTGTCTATGTGTCAAGACTGTACTTCTGTTGTTGGCCTCTTAAGTTTTTCCGTTACTTACCATCTTTTCCACATTATGTGCTATTAAATAGAACCATAAAGAGCAGTGATCTGCTGTGGAGAGTTATTTTACTTTTGTGTTCAGATTGAAAATTAGTTTTAGACAAATGAAAAGAAACAAAATGTTAGCTTATTGAGAGAAACAATTAATAATCTATTTCCATTGCTTTTGACTAAACATAAACAAGCTTTGAATTAAGGAGGCATTATGTGGTTGAGGAAAAAAAAAATTGAAAGTTGCTAAATTGGCATTCCCATTGCTTTTGTTGTCTACAGTCCTCATTGGTCAAAGAGAGATACCATTTTGTTTACAAATAAATGCAATGTACTTTTCAGACAAGTGCCATCACACCGTGAACTATCAAAGTCAAAAAGAACACGGTCATGAGAGAAAAGTCAAGACAAGCAGGGAACTTGAAAGACATGTGACCACTCTGCTGTTCCCTCTGTTTTCATATGCTGGGGAATATAAAGAACGCAGAGGCAGAGCCTGGGATAAAACAAGGAAAATAGGCAGATTACAATAACAAAGTGAAGAGTCAGGGAGTGCACTGTCACAGAGAACCTCGCACCACTTAATTTCAATTTAAGGGGTTGCTGCAATGCATGGCCTATGGAAATTTAATGATACATTATGGTTCATCTGAACTTGTCAGCTGGCCCCATGCTGCGATAATCAACTTTTCAATGTCAGACTCATTTACTCCTCGAAGAATCCTGAAATAGCCGTTCTCTCCCCAGGACTTTCCCCAGGAATTGGCAGCAATCTGCACAAAAACAATAACAACAACAAAAAAATGAAAAAGCTGAGTATCACACTTCGGTATTTTTAAGTCCTGCCTGTAAAAACAAAGGGAACTCGTATATATAGCTTTACATACCTTTAGACTTATTATACATTGTAATTATTAAAAACCTAAATATTTTGTAAATAATAATAAAATGGTTATACCATTCATCAGTTAGATGAATATGCATGAACATTTATGTTGGCAACAGCCAGAATTGGTGGCCTCAGAGGACATACAAGCTACAGTTATCTACTATGTGCCTGGCCCAGTGCTAGGCATGTGAGCAAAGATAAATTAGGCATTATGCTGTGTTTAAGGAGCTTATATTCTAATGAAATGCAATCAACAGAAAGCAAGCGCTAAGGTAGAAACATGCAGATTGCTCTAGAAATCAGCAGAGGGGCATCTCACCTACCTGGATGGTTCAGGGAAGTTGTCATTCGGATCATGCCACACGAGATGCATGTTAGAGCTTGAGCATAAATTAACCAGATAAAGAGAAGGAGGGAGATTCAGGTGAAAGGAAAAAAAAAAAAAAAAGAGAGAGCCCAAGCACCAAAGCATGAAGCAGCATGAAACTGAAATTAAGCAATGGAATTGTTATAAAATTAGATCATAAAACACAAGCAGGTGGTAGGTTATGAGGCTGGCATGTGAGGTAAAGAATTCCATACTGAGAAAATAATAGTGAAGATAATGTCAAGGTTTTTTTTAGTTGCTTCCAGCATGAGAGCAAGCTGGATTAAAAATGTCCTTGCAATATTTTGTAGGAAATGAGATGGATGGGCTTAAGAAGGTAGACACAAGAGGAAGGGAAACTAGCTAGTAAACTTGTCATAATTAAGTTGGAAGGCTTAGCAGGAGCAGGGGAAATAGGAAGAGAAAGAGGAATGTTCAGAAAGTGAAACCATTAGGAATTAGACATTTTCTTTCATGTTTTTATTTTTATTTTTAAAATACGAGGAGGCTTAGCCAGGGAGTTGGGACAGGGCCAGAAGGATTCTTGGGTATAGAGCTTGAGAGAGTAAGTGCATAGGAAAGCAACCCACATCAATCAGTGTGTATAAAAAACAACACGAAGGCCAAAGGGCACACAGAAGGCAGTCAGCTGATCACAACTAAATACAAGAGGAAAGCTCAGTCAGATAATAGCTGCAATTGTTCATGGGATGGTGAATGAGAGATTTCACAAGGCCTCACCACTTGCCTCACACTCAACCTACCCTGAGCCTAAGATGGAAAATGCTCTAGGATGTGATCTACAGTGAGCTTCTCAAGGCATATATTGTTGCAGTGAGCTTACTGTGTTCCACCACGTAAGAGAGGGCAGATTTACTCAGCATCAAAATTGTCGGCTTTAATGAAAAAACTGCTTTTCATCATTTCAAGATTGGACTCTTTTGCCTGGACTCTTTTGTATGAATTTTAGGATTATTTTATAAATTTCTGTGGAAAATATCTAAGTATCCACAGAGCCTAGACATCTTTTTATACTACTGTAATAGGACTTTTTAGTATCTCTTTTTTAGTTTGTTCTTAATGTGTAGACATGCAACTGATATTTGTGTTGATTTTGAATCCTGCAACCTTACTGAACTTAATTATTAGTTCTAATATATTTCAATGAAGTCTTTAGGGCTTTCTATATAAATGAGATCATATTATTTGCAAACAGAGACAGTTTCACTTCTTCCTTTCAAGTTTTCCTTGCCTGATTGCTCTGTTAGAATTTCCATCACTATATTGACAAGAAATAAGAGTAGACATCCTTGTTTTGTTCCTGATCTTAGCATGAAAACTTGCAACCTTTCATCATTGAATCCAATGTTTACTTTGGGGTTTGTCATTTATGGCATTTATTATGTTAAGGTATTTTTTTTTCTATACCCAATTTTCTGAGTATTTTTTTTAATCATAAAGGATGTTTGTTTAATTTTGAGGAATGCTTTGTTGTACCAAATGAAATAATCATAAGAATTTTATCTTTTATTTTACTAGTATGGTGTATTACATTCATTGATTTGAATTTGAACTATCTTTGTATTTCACAGACAAATCTAACTTGATCATGACGTATGATCCTTTCAATGTACTGTTGAAGTAAATTTGCTAGTGTTTTGCTGATAATTTTTACATCTATGTTCATCAGGGATGATGGTCTATAGTTTCCTTTTTTTGAACCATTCTTATCTGGCCTTGTATCAGGTTAATATTGGCCTCATAAAATAAATTTTGTAGTGTGTATTGCTCTTCAATCTTGGGGGGGGAGAATTTGAGCAGAGTGGGAATTAATTATTCATTTAATATTTGTGGTAGAATTTACCAGTGAAACCATTTTGACTTGGGCTTTTCTTAGGAGGCTTTTGAATGCTGACTCAACCTTCTAATTCACTATTCTGTTAAGATTTTTCTATTTCTTCATGATTTAGTCTTGATATATTTTATGTTTTTAGGAATTTCATCTAGGTTATCCAATTTGTTGGGGAAATGTTGGTCAAAAGGTACAAACTTCTAGTTAAGATGAATAAATTCTGAGGATTTAATATACAGCATGATTATAGTTAAAAGTAAAGAATTGAAAACTTGAAAGATGATAAGAGAATTTATCTTAAATCGTCTCACCATACATACACAAAATGATAACTATATGAGGTAATGGATGTGTTAATAAACCTTATTTTGGTAAGCATTTTTCAATACTTAATGTGTATAAAATCCTCACTTTATGCACATTAAATTTACTTCAAATTTAGTCTCCTGACATACAAATTATACATATTATGTAAAGATGGGTGATGTTTATTTTCACTTCTCCCAGAAATACTTTATCTTCACATACCCTGAGAATTAGATCTATAGCTATTTGTCTGGTTAAGTGATCTGATCCCAAAGAATAATAACATTTCTCTTATCTCCCCAAGAGGGCCAACATGTTAGAAGCCAGACAGGGTCCTAAATTAAGAGCCAGGGTGCCAAGAGCACTGGAACATTATCTCCCTTGGTGTTTACCTGTCATAAAGGATGGAACCCATCTTTTGAAGACATTATCTGGTATTATCTGGCCATTGAAAAGACATATTTATATTCCTAAGGGCAAGGGTATGAACAAGAGACTTTTTTTCAGCTCCTCTTAATGGAATAAAAGGGTGTGTGTGTGTGTGTGTGTGTGTGTGTGTGGTGTGTGTGTGTGTGTGTGTTTTCTCTCCTTCTAGGAAAGGAGGAGGTTGCCTGTCTCGCTCCTCTATATAAATGGAGAAAGTCCACTGTTTTCTGTCATTCATTTATGGAGAGTAAACTGCTACCTCCATAGGAAAATTCCATTGGCTCTTAGGCTCTATCACAGCACCTGCAAGACTCAATGCTGTGACATCTGGCTGTTGATTTTGTTGTACTAATAGGAACTCTTTTCTTCTGACCCAAGAGCCTTAATACCAGCGGGACAACATCTCAAATATATTTACAGTTTAGTTGAGAAAAAGTCAAAGCGTTTTTAATAAAACAAAATATGATAAATTTTTAGTCTGACTCTTGTATTCTTACAACTTATGTTAAATTATTTATCCCAAAGAATCATATTAAAAGGAAATTTTACCGCTATCCCCATGAAATAAACTTTTCTTTAAAATGTTTGATAAGTAATAAGGTCAGAATTAATAGTAACAACAACAAAAGTAGATTAAAAGGATAGTGTGCATGTTTTAAATAGACTGAGTGTGAGTGTATATGCTTTGTGTGTGTGCGTGTGCGTGCGTGCATGTGTGTGTGTGTGTGTGTGTGTGTGTGTGTTACCATGGTGCTCTAGGATGGAAATGATGAGGTTGAAGATAAGAGGATCACAGTTTTCCTTTGCACTTAAAATTCATATTCATAATTACTCAACACGTATTTACTCAACAAATAGCTATATGCTAAGAACTGTTATAAGTTAACTAAAAAACTTGTTTTTGTCTTTAAACACTATATTATTATGTGATTGAATAACTCTTCAAATTCACTTAAAAATCTCATTCAGAAACTTAGTTGTAGGTATTCAAATAACATATCATCTTTCACATATTAATTTTAATTCTTTAACATTCATATTATTGGCTACTTCAAACTTTATTTTAATGAGAAAAATAATATCTAAGAAAGATGAATTTATGTACAAAGATGCATCATTCTACTTTAAACTCCCGTATATCAAGACAGGTACAGATACATACTTGGGTGGTTGATTTTTGTGAGTAATTTATGGAGAAACCTAAATAACATGTCACTCTAGTAAGTACAAGTCCTAATATGTTTTATAAGTTATAATAAAGCCTTTACTATATACATTTAAATTCAAATAAATATTATCACCTTTTATACTATTTTTAAAAATAAAAAAGTGTATAAGGACTTGAGACAATTCATCATAGTTTATTGGAATTAACTGAATATTTTAGGTAATATATTTAAAAATGTTTCTTATATGTAACTTTCTATTATTTTTCAGACTAGACATTTTCTCTTTTTCCATAAAGAAGCCTGTGTATGGTATAATTGGCAAAAACAAAACAAAACACTTTACTCCTATAAATAAATAATTGATGCAAATGTTACAAAAGCATAATCCATAGCAAAAATTCTGTAAAAAGACAAAGTTGATTGACATATATAAGAGAAGTCTAACAATTACTTTAAGTTTAATATAGATGATAATAGGGGGGGAAAATTCTGATTCTCATTTTGGAAAAAAAAATTTTTTTACAATTTGAAATAATAAGTCATTTAGGAAAACTATCACTATAATATTAATTATTGCAATGAATTTCACTTTGGAGAAAATACCAGAATTACAAACAATAAGTTGGTGACTTAAGATGTGATGAAGTAATACAAAGCAGGGGATAGAGACACAGATGATTCTAAAATGTTCACTTCACAGTAGAAATTCAAATAGAGTTACATACCCAAAATTTTTCTTTTCGCCCCTGGGCTCCTCTCAGTGTGCCCCATCTACAAATAATAACAATAATAATACAATATTAGCATACAGAAATATGCTTATATAATTTTCATTTTTACTATATCATTATTTACTTGCTCAAAATATGTTCATCTATATCCAAATGTTTGAAATGAAACTCACTGACTAAAGGAGTTAAGTTTCAGACAACTGGTTATGGAGGTTTATTTTTTGTTTCTGTTTTATTAATTTTTATTAAAGTACAGTTGGCATAAAATAGTATGTTAATTTCAGACTTAAAACAGGGATTTGATAGATAAATGGATAAAGAATATGTGGTGCATATATACAATAAATATTATTCATCCATAGAAAAAGCTCACCATTTGTGACAACATGGATAAATCTAAACAGTATTATGTAGTAAAATAAGCCATACAGAGAAAGAAAAATGCTCTTAATTTCATAGAGGTTTTAATGTATTTAAGGATTGCTCCTTTCTTTATATCTAGCCCTCTGAAACTTTACATAACAGCACAAATTATAAATCTCCAAGACTAATGATAAAAACAATGTAAATATGGATCATTGTTATAAATAAAAGAATTTATGTAAAAGTATTTATATGTATATAGTATTTTATACATCTAATGTGGAGTTTTTCTATACATGTGTATATATGGAAATAAAATCCTATATTCCTAGTACTGGCCCATATTCAGTGTAACAGTTCGTAAAGAATTCAAACCTACAATATCTCATTTTTTTCTCTTGACGAAAAGCAGTGAGGCAAATGTTACTAACATGTTCTTTTTACTAATAAAATAGCAAGGCTTGTCCAAGATCTTAAGAGTGAGAAATGTTAAACCAGGACCTCAAGCCCCATGCACTTTTTAATAAGCTGCTTTTCTTATAGATTCCCCAACTGCAATGTGTCCTAAACAGCATCAGTTTCATGTTGAGAAAGCATACTGACTACGACTTTCATGGGACTTAATGGATTGTGAGGACACAGTTCTGCCCACATATCACCCCATCAATCCATCCCTAATAACTCAGATCTCAACATCAGAGCTCCTTCGAGCTAAATCATGGCATGCCATAACATAACAAACATTCCTGGAAGAGACACACATTTGTTGTTCAAATATTCTCAACATGTCAGTTTGCAGAAAGTTATTTTTTTGTAGGTACAGAATAGAATAATGGGGCCACGGCACTTTAAAGATGACAGGCTTATGGTAGAGATCTTGAGGCATTTAGGAAAATATATTAATGCATTTGGTTCCTTTGACCTGAGAATGAAAGGATAAAGGTGATTTGGGATAGGAAAACACTAAAGAACAATTTTTCTTTCTCTTGTTCCTGACAGAGGCTAAGAGTGCAATTACACTGATTGTCATCTCTCTTTTAGTTCTCCACTCCACAAAAGGGGACACTTGAAGGTTTCAAATATCTGGGCAGTGTAATGGGTAAGTTTAAACTAGTTCAATTTCCAAAATCATTTTTGTAGTTTTACAATTGCACTTATATCCTTTTCATTTTTCTAAAGTGCCGTCATCATTGATAAAATTAGCATTCCTATATGTGCCTCCAAATCTTTAAAGTACATTATGTACTTCAAGGAGTAGATCATATCTGAAACTTCAAGTCACTCATTCCTACTCTCTTATTTATCATGGCTATCAAACCAATTTTAGAAGTTTACCACTCAATCGTGCTTTTAGATGGTTGGATGCTAGTTACCTAACATAAAATACATTCATATTTTCTCTAAACATCACTATTTATGCTCTTCTTTCTTTCACTTATATCTCTTCCTTATAAGACTAGCATTTATTTAGACAGACCAAAACCTTGATCTTACTCTTCTCAGATTGCTTCTTTAAATGTGCAACTCTAAAGCAAGTTGTACAATAGGTTCTCGAGCATAGGATCTTAAGAGTGTCCTTTTTTGCTTCAAGTGACTGTACTTCATGCAAAGTTTATACTGTTTTTTTAAAAAATATTTTTCTATCTCATTAAGTTGTTTCAATTATTTGCTAAGTTCCTTTAATGCTTATTTTCTCTTAAAATTTAGTGACATCCAGATAAGTGCCAATATTTTTAAAACATCTGGGCAAGTCTTAGCTCATGTAACATATTTCCCAAGGATGCCTGAGAACTGGTGATTCCCTACATTGGTTTACTGTCACTTCAAGCACATGATTATTTAATCTCTTCCTTTTGTATTCATTTTATAGGCATACTTTTAGATAGTTCTAAAAATACTTTTTTGCATAATATGAAAGGTCTTAATGGAGAAACCATAAATTCTGTAGAATAGAGCAGAAAACTCATTAAAAACATAAGGTAAGATTTTGTGTTGCTAAGGTTATGAATATTTTTCAAAACTTTAGTGAATTTATTGGGATGACATTGGTTAATGAAGTTATATAGGTTTCAGGAATACAATTCTATAATATATAAACTGCATATTATATTGTGTGTTCATCATCCCAGTTCAACTCTTCTTCTATCACCATTTATCCCCCTTTAACCCTCTCTTTCCTCTCCTACCCATCTTTCCTTCTAATAATCACCAAACAGGTAATGAATATTTTTGTGCATGTTCCATGTTAAAAGGAATGTTGTTCGTTTCAGATCACCATGATAAACAATACTAGATTTCTTAAAACCCTATTTTAAACTATGTCTAAATAGTAAAATTATTGGAATCAAATACTTTGCATAAGATTTTAAGTAATAATTTTTCCTCCCTTGGTATTGATTTTCCCAAGGAAGTCAATATATCCAGTGATTATAATATTTGACATGATAAAAAGAGAAAATTGAGGTAAACCTTTCTTAAAGTAATATTCATACTCCCATTAATATCTCTTTTTAAAGTAGAGCACAGAATCTCTTCTGTACTTCATTTATTTCTGATTTTATTCAGCAAACTACTGTTTAGTATAAAGAAGATATATCCTTTGTCTTCAAGAGACTAATAACCTAATGGGAGTGATGTTGGGAAATGAAAAATGAAGTATAAAATAATTTGAATTCTTTAATTTCTACTTTTATAAAAGCATGTTTTAAAGATTTCTAAGGGCACAGATGAAGAAACTAACTGTCTGTGGAAGGCAAAGCAACTTCCTTCACAGAACCGAGTTGAAATTCTTCAGGCAGAAATGGAATATTGGAATGTTAGGCATAATAAATTAGTGTAAATCAAAAGAGAGCCATGAAAAGCTAATTTCTGCCTAATCTAAGAGCAGCCCATGTTCCAGCGTGACTGGAGGACAGCGATGGGAGACAGGAAATCAAGTGGGGAAAGCAGATTTGGCTGTCAAGAGTGTACAAGGCCAGCAAGGTTGGCATCTACAAAGCTGGTGAGAGACATTTGAATACAGGATGTGACGTAATCCACAGTTTTTCCTTCAGAGAGACAACTCTGGTGTCCTGTGATGGATAGATTCCAGGGGCAGGAGGCTGAAGACATGAGATGAATGCTAAAATTTAAGCAAGAAATAATGAAATCCTGAGTAGGAATGTAAGACACACAAAGCAAATATTGATAATTCTTTTGACAGCTGTATCTCCAACACCTAGAATTGAGACTATTGCATAGTTAACCCTAATTAGATATTTGCTGAGCAAGTGCATTGAAGTACACTCACAGTGGGCATGAATAGGAGGGCACAGATTTGAGAGCTACTTTGGAGGTAAAGGTAATGGAATGTCTGGGCCAATTTATACCTACAGAAAGGGAGAAGAAAGAATCAAGGTTAACTTAGGATTTCAAGGTTGAATGAGTAGGCATATCAAAGGTGGCATTACTTGAGGTGCACTTCACACTGCACAGAGATGTGTTCCTGATGATCAAGTTGATTTATCATCACCAAAGACTGTAATAATAGAGGGGCTTCATCTTTCTTGAGTTGTCTCTACTGATAGTGGTTCTGCATATTGACCTTTATTTAAATTCATGGCTTCTCATGATTACTGACAGTTAAAACACTGTAGGAACCAAGGAAAGCTGATAATTAAAAGAAAGTATGGAAGAGCCTACTGCACAGTGAGGAAGTCTTCTGTGATGAGAATAATTATTTCTTAATTCATGTGTCAAGGTCCCAGGGGCTTAGGAATCAAGTTCCTCAAAGCAGTTCTCACATCCATCTAAGAATCTGGAGCTATAAGAACAATATCATTTTTAGTTTATACTCTTGGTAGGTGTGTTGCACTGTAACAGAATCAACTGGACTAAAATGCTACAATGCTTCTGATGATTTACTGATTCTAAGGTCTCTGCATGTGCCCCTTAGACTTGACAATAGGAAGTCTAACTCCTGTTTTCTGGGCAGACCAATTCTCTGTTAGTGAATATAGATCCAGACAGATAAAAACAAAGTTTCTAAAAAAAAATGTATAAAGTACAGCCTACTGGAACAGGAAATTTTGAAGGAAAACAAAATACAAATGCATAAGAAAGTCTGATACAGAACTCCAAACTTTCTTATAAAGGAAATGAAAGTCAGATAGGATACACGCATAAAGAAATCACCAGATAAGCCTCCAGTCAATAACAATGATATGACTACTCTGGGTATAGGATTTTGTGTTCAAAGGTGATAGCAGATAGATTTTCAGCTCTCTTTACACAAAAATTTTTGAAAAATAACTGCAGTCACAGTGAGGCAAATATATGCAGGTTGTTGTTGCTTTATGAATGTTCTATCAGGGACACTTAGTAACTTCATTTAAAAAATAGAAACTCACACCTATTGAGTGTTGTGATATTGAATATAATTGAGAGCTATCAGAATGTGTGAATTAATATATCAGAATTGAATGAAAATAGACTGCCTAGGAAAGCACCATGAAATGAAAGCATTCTCCCCTCCCATTTCATTTTTTTAAAATATTTTTTAAATTGATTTTTAGAGAGAGAAGAATGGACAGGAATAGAAACACGTGCACAGATTGATACCCAACCAACTGATTCACACTGGCCAGGACTAAGATCAGATACTTTTACTGATATGTTCTGCATAGGAACTACAAATTT